GGGAGTAAATGATGGTCGTAAAATGTCACACCCACCCACACACGTATTAGTTGATAATGATATTTCATCCATTCTAAATTACATGTTTGGGCTAAGAAACTACGAAACAAATGGTATTGTGTTCTCTCTGTCTCTTTGCATCTAAACCTTTGAATCACAAGTATCAATGATGTAAATAATAACAGCAACAGAAATAGCAGGAAAAAAATAATGGCAATGTGGCGGAGATAAATTGTTTGGCATGTGAATTGCGAACTGCGGTTGGGGTTGGGGTGGGGGTGGTTAATTGGGGACAGGATATGGGTGAACACAGACAGATGATTGTTCGCATAATGTGCCCCCCCCCCGCTCCGCCCCGCTTCAAAAGCAACCGATTCAAATAAAACCGTTTCGGAAATGGAGGTACAGGGAGGGAGGGAAGGAGACGGTGAGACGGGTGCGGGATCAAATTCCTGAGCTCGAGATCGATAATCAGTGTCCGTAGTTCTCGACCCTGACGTGACCGCCTTGTCCGGGCAGTTGTGTAGAGCCCATCAGATAGAGATCGACCTCACGTGCTGCCTGTCTGCCTTCNTCTGCCTTCGTTGATTGCATGAACAACCAACGATTGACCTCTGCGACAGTCTGCGAATTATTTCACAATGGACAAATGGAACGGACTGTGTGAGTAGAAGATGCCAATATTCTTGAAATCAAATGCATATTATTGTTGTGCTTTGTCACAGAGAAAGGTTCGGATTCTATCGTGCTTGAGAATTGACGTTTTGATGTACAACTCTGTCACCCCATTGAAGATCCTACTTCAAGTGGATCTAACAGTTTTGCGTTCATTCTTACTTACACCCTATCTGAGATCAAAACCTGATTGATTGATTTGTACCATCTAATGGCAGTTTGAGTGACGGTTTAATCGATGCTAATTATTGCTGCATATTTGGTCAACTTTTTCGTTAGTTTTTGCCCTGTCTGCAACTGACTACAGAAACGTGAATATGAACGCTTCGAGGTGAACCGGCAAGCACAATGCTATCACATGACTATGGGGCTTATATATGTAGATTCTTGGGAGGTAAAAACGTAGATTCGTTTAGGGANAACTCAATCCACCGATATCTCTCATGTTACCGATTATTTAAGGGTTTGCGGTGGTCATTTTACGAGTCTAGGGTGATTATCATTTATGATTAATTGGCAGTGTAATGATCACGTGCTGTCAATTTAGAAGAAAATAGTTTAAGCAACAAAATAACCACGGGAAGTACAAGAAATGCGATCACCATAGGTATCTAAACGACAGTCATTGGCCATTAAACTATCGGAACTACTCAACGCGATCTAAACCGTTCATANCAGCTTGCTCGCCTCTGATCGTCATTTAGTGAGGAATGTACCGGTTGGCGCATTACGCATGACCATCATCTACCACCCCCCGGGATGGGCGTTGGGTGGGGTGGGGGTGTGGTGAAAGTACACAGGACTTGATGAGCACAGATTACAGTTTAACTAATAGCTGTTAAAACAGATCAAACTAGGCACAAAAATAAACCACGGGAGGAAAATAATACGCTGCTCACGAATTTTGTTATTCGTATACCTATGCTATTTAGTTCTCATCAAGAACAAACACTTCTGTACAGTCCAACAAAGAGCATACGCTAGGACTGAGCAAACACGCAGTGCTTGTTGAAAGCGCATTATCACCAAAGGCAGCTTGCAGATGATCAAAATTCTGTTGCCGCTACTTGTGCTTTAAACCACATTCGTAGTCGTAGAAAAAATTCATCGCCCACATCCATTGACATCGACTGAGTTTCAACCTAACAGGCCGAGTATTGCGGCAACCCTCGTGTGACTTGTGAGTAGTGTGCTCTCGGCTGTGTTGATATTTGATTCTGTGCGAGTTGCAATCACTGAACAGTGGATTCACAATACGAGTTTTGCAGTTCACGTTTTCCTTGCCCCGGTTATCGGCACCTCATACTCAGTCCTCGTATAATACGATTGCAAAGTGTTTTTTGGATCACACCAATGCTACAAACACACACCGTATGCAACTAATTACGCAAGGGAGCATTTGTGAGAAGAGAAATTACGCTGTGTTTACACGATTTGGTTTTAATTGTCCAATACTTCGTATATGGAAGTATTTGGGGCATGATTAGGACAAACGGAAAACGGATCTCTTTGCCAACCCGTACCCCTAAAGAGAACAAAATTTCAAGAACTTATCATTCTGTGTAACCAGATGAAACAAATCCAATTTCATTTTCCCTATTACTAATATCCGCGACAATATTTAGGTGAGGTTTTCAGTGAAATAAATCGTGGATCGGACCAAGTGAGTTCAGATTACTAGGCGATTTCGAGCGCACGACTTTGATATGCATCTCCTCGACCCTTCCATCAAATTTCCGAGTTGTAGTAATCAATGATAACCTTTATCAGATTGCATTGAGAGAATTCTTCGTGTATAGAGCAAATGAAGCTTGAACTGAAAAGCTAGGAAGCACCCTGTATGGCTGTTTCGACCTGGTTGGGTCTCATCCGTGCAGTGCGCGAATCAATCGACCCCACCGTGAGATCGAACCCGGGACCTCACAGGCAGATTAACAGATTGCCCAAAACGCACATGTATTTGAACAGCGATCGGAGCAAGCAGGTTATTAAAACAACAAGTATAAAAAGCGCCAAAAATGAAAGATACGAAAGTGTAAAAGGATGTGTCTTTATAAACTTCCGAAGAGAATTCATCGGGAATCCTTAAGAATTCTGTACAACAGTAAAAACAACTAACCTCCGGCCGTGAAAACTCGCGGTACACTGGTTGCATATGATTTCCCATTTTGTGTTTTGATTTTCGATTCGGATTGTTCGGTTGCCAGTCCCAGATCCCTAATCAGACTGGTTTCTGGGCCAACAAATCCCATGGCCAGTAGAACTAGGTCACATTCGATAATGGCCTCCGTATCTAAGCCGGAAATGGAAATAAATTCAAATATAAGTTCAGAAAAAAAGAAACTGGGAGAAAATAATCGATTTATCATACATAAAATAAATGAATTTAAATCAATCGTATGATGTAATCATAATAACATCCATTTGGCAAGATGGAGAACCCTAATCTAAAAGTCTGTTTCAATGTTTTCCGGCGACAAACGTTTGAATTTTTGGAGCACACAGTTTGTCATCCAAGAATTCCTCGAATTATCTCGAACGTCAAACTTTCCATTGTAATTGTTCCCAATCAGCTTGAGCCAATCAACAAGTGTTAAAAATCTGAAACACCAGACTAAGTGCAAATTAGACAGAAGTTCACGACTCGGATAAATGAATAAATCCGGTTCAATCCCATTCTATCTGACTGCGAGTATCGTTCAGAACACTGGCTCAGAAGAGATGAAAATATAGATTACTGTTTGAGATAAGTGGTTTAGTGTTCACGAAAAATGAAAAATAATTCTCATTTGTTTAACAGTTACTTATTAGTAACAGTGCGCGATAACTGAAATGGATTGATTTGTACTGACCATTAGTCAGAGTTTACCTCCAAGCACATTCTTCAGCTGTTCCAGTCAGCCATACACCCGGAAGCACTATAGACTAGAGTTTCGCTCTTATTAAAGCTCCTCAGCAGTGATGCATATCCACCGTCCCACCCGGGATTTGAACTCCGGAGCTTCTACATGGGAGGAGTGTGTGTTACCACTGTACCAACCAGCTNTGTCTTCAGAGATTGTCATTCAGTTCAATGTTAGCCCGACAACAACGAGGGGAGACAGTCGAATATGTGTTAGTTCCAATCGAAAACCTCTCCCCAAATCAGGTCTTCCATGAAGATTACGAGCTGAATTGCCGAAAATCTATTAACCGAGGTTAGTAATTCACATTTAACTGGCAGTTATTTGTGAGTAGTGGTGTGGAATAATCCATATCGATTTAAAATGGTTATCCTTCAGATTTCATCTTCAGTTCTAGTCAATCAAGTTGAAAAGTGGACAACATTTTGATCTCTTATCGATGACTGAACTTTATCATGTATTTGGTGCCACCTGAGAGAATCCGGTTCACACATAATAAGTGTCGGAGAAACATGAATGGATGTTATTCAAAGTTGACGTGCATCATCTCAACACACGACACACGATTTCGTTTGGTCAGCTGATTCGCGTGAAATATCCGGCAAATCAGGTTCATTGAAACTGTGTGTGCATGCGTGTGTGGGTGTGCACTCCAAGTTTAAAGGGCCCAGAATTCGGGACTCGTAATACAAACATTCACCGCGTCTATTCTTCGTGCGGAACAGAACGGAAAACATGGAGGGAATCGAATTGTGTACGCACCAAACTATTGTCGATTCGTGTGCACAGCTTGCCCATCTATAGAAGAAAGAGAGAGAAAGTACGTATGGTAACTAAGCAAAGCAATTTGTGTGACAGCATCTGACTAAAATAAACAAAAACATACACCAAACCGTACCATACGATGAACAGTTACTCTGATGAGATGGTCCTATGGACCTCTTCCCGAGGGAGATCAAACTGTGGGTGTCGCAACACGTATAGGCTTAACCATCAACGAACTATGTGACCGGATCGATCGATTCCCGAGGATTTGGGGGAAAAATTGGCCATTCAATTGGGATGAATTCTCGCACCGGAAAACCACCGATATGGTGTCAATAAATTATCGAAAGTAGAAACGATTGCATTCTTGGACATTAAAAATTACAATCTAATTGGTAAACTGATTCATAAAGATGAAACTGTTCAAATAACTGTTCGATAAAATCATACAAAGCTCAGCACAAAACGATGAAATCATAATCAAAATATATCAATAAATTGAACCACATTGCTGTTCGGAATATTACACAAATCTACAATTTTATTCGGGCTGGATATTTTCACTGAACTCCAGGAGGTTACCAGTCAGTGGTTTGATTCCCCAAAACGCTTAGGAATCCAATCGTATCTAATACAAACAATTATTTGGATTGTGAGACAAACGAGAGTTAGTTTCAGTTTCAGTTTGTACAACCATTATCTATGCATTTTTATGCGTCCGTTTTGTTTGCTGTCTTTTGGTCGTCCATTTGGATGAGCAGTAGAGAAAAGACAAAATGTTGAGAGCAGAGTCGAAGAGAACTAAGATTGCAAAGAAATTGAGAAGATGCACGGACGCCACTGTTAGCGATAACTAACCATATCACTCAGCGTCTCTAACTATCGGTTCCGATCATCCCGAGGTCCCCAGCCAGGGAGCCTAACGGAACATATGTAACCCAAACTCTTGGTTAGGGTTTTCATACCCTCGTGTCAGGTTTTAGCTTGACCACCCTGGACTTTATTCGACCCATTACCTGCCTCGGCAAATATGGCTCGCAGTGGCAACCTATTGGGTGACATGCGTAACATATGCCCCAACCAACGTAATCTATAGAGGTCGACTACTTGTTCCAGTGAGTGACCGCGGTTGACTACAACTTCTCACCTGACCTCAGTATTGCTCATCCGGCTGCCCCACCAGATCTGTGCAATGCTGCATAAACAGTGGTATTCAAACACCGACAGCTTATCTCTATCCTGCTTCCCTAATGGCCAAATTTCTGCTCCATATAGCAGAACTGGCCGAACTGCTGCAGCATACACGTGACCCTTCACGCACGTCCGGGTGTCGCGGCGGCGCCACAGATAACTCAAGTTGGTGAATACCAATCGCGTCCTCTGTATGCGAGTTCACACCTCTTCCGAGATGCGTTCACGGGGTGAGGCAGGGGGATGCATGGGCTGTGTTCCTTATTCTTTCTTTTCTCACACTAGTCCTATTGAAATCTGTGTTTGGTTCATCAACCCAAGTCCACGGAGCTTTGGCGAGCAATTTCCATAAACTAAAATGGGCCCTAATGTTTTAATTCCACAAGGCAGTGTTGAGACGAGGGAGGTATTCATATGAGCAACACTATCGGATAGGGGTAGATAAGCTCACACAGAACGAAACATCTAATTTGTAACAATCGATTAGTTGCTTCGTGATTATCTCTTCAGTGGTGATCACAAGCCCGACGGTCTATTTGTCTTCTCTGTTGCTACAACAGTAAATTCTTTAATCCACACCCAGATGCTGTGGAAATCCACCTACTATTACATAATACTGGATCCCAGCAAAGTCCGAAAACGGCAACCGATACTAACACGCCACCTTCCTCCACTAGCGCGGATTTTATCACTCCAAATTTACCAAGCAGCACCGACGAAGCCAATCCTACAAAAAAATAATGTTAGCCGACCCCAAGTTGGTCGGCAGAAACAACACCACATACCCAGATAGATTTCTTTGCCGCAGATATCTTTCATGTTTTTATACCAATGCACAAGGTTACCTTAGCGAATTCTCCGAGATGGAACTTCGTTGGAAAACTAATTAAATTAACATTATTGCTGTTACTGAAACCTGGCTGACCACCGACATTCTCGACCCATAGTTGGGTCTGTGAGAAATGTCGCTGCTCAGACGTGATCGTCCTACACGAGGCGGTGGAGTGCTGGTCTATTATCGAAACAATTTACAGTGTGAACAGCCCCCGATCGGTTATGGTGTTCAGTAAGACTCTCCAAAAACGATAGATATCTAATCGGTGTTGTGTACGGACCTCTCGCATCTTCTGATTGAGCCAACGAGATTTTGTTGCAAACCATGAGGAATGCGTTAGCACTAAAGTTCACCCATACCCTCATAATGAGTGACTTTAACTGCCCCAATCTCATAAGAACGAGGACTTCCCGCTAGCCATTCGAGAGACAGTTATCCCAGTTCATTGGATTACACCCATCATGCAACCACGTTACAGAACTCACTAGATTCGGAGCTGGTCACGTACCATCAACACCGGATTTTGTGCTGACTAACGAGGAGTTGATGGTGGAATCTGTCAAGGTCACGTCTCCACTAGCAAGTAGTGACCATGCTGTGTTGAAGTTTGACTATATAGGCTACGCCTCTACCCAAGAAAATCAAAAGAGCAGTACCCGTGCCATCATGGACTACAAAAAGCTGCAAAACCTGACAATAATTAAGCAATGGGTCCTCAGAGAAGGCGATCATGATCCTTTGGTGGCATGGAAGAGCTTGACTGATTATCTTACCGAAATTATAACGGCTGCAACAAGTATAAAATCTTGTGGTAAATCTAAAACTCGTCATTCATTCATTCGCAGCCGAACAAAGAAATGGATAGAGTAAAGGAACTTTTCCTGACGGGAGTACAGAAGATGTCTATTTATCAAAACTTGGAATAATTATTCCACACGGCAAAATCAGTGTACCAAGTTTTTACGAGTGGTCAAATTGATGTACCAAGAAACCTTGGCTCGAAAATTCATTTCTGATCCAAAATTGCTTTATAAACACATCGACTCTACAGGGAAGGTAAAATGCGAAACATCAGTATTGAGATCGTCTGGACATGTTTCAACCACTACTCTAGAAGCAGCAGAGTTCCTCAAAAAACAGTTCGATCAGATGTTTACTGCAACGACACACGAAGCATTACAGATTCCAAGCAAACTACCCTGTATACCGTATCCGTTACTGGATAACATGACTTTGATAGTGAGAAGGTTAGAGCGAAACTACTAACTTTGCGTGAGAATTCATCCCCAGGCGCAGACAACATGCATCCCCGGACTCTGATTTCGCTAGCCAATAAAATTTCCGAACATCTGGAGCTGCTTTACCAAAGGATGTTCAACCAGGCAGTAATTCCGCAGTAATGGAAGGAGGGGGGTGATGTTCCCCATTTACAAAGGGGGATCTCGTAGTGATCCAACCAACTACCGCCCTGTTACACTTCTTCCGATATTGTCGAAAGTCATGGAAGCTATTGTGGCAGATCTGTTGATAGAATAGCTGGAGAAGCATGAGCTTTCGTCTCCAACTCAGCACGGATTTCGGCACAAACGTTCGTGCACCACAAATCTACTTCTTGCACGGAATGAGTGGACGAAATCCGTCGATGCAGGCCAGCCATTGGACATAGTTTATTTGGACTTCTCCAAGAAATTTGATCGAGTAAACCACTAGATACTACTGCGAAAACTCTACAACTAAGGAATAAGAGGTTTGGTTCTCAACTGGATTAAGGATTTTCTTCGAAAAAGGACCATGTCAGTTCGTGTTGGTGATTCATTATCAGTGCTGCCCGCGGGGTTCCTCAAGGATCCGTACTGGGGCCTCGTCTCTTTCTGGCATTTATAAACGACCTGCCACATGTGCTTAGGCCTAATACACTGCTATTTG